CTCTCCTCGCTACTTACAACAAACCGTTCTTATACTCATCTCAAAATTTTTCTCAGAGCTTTGGGTTATTATCAGCTTCCATTTAAACTCCGGTTCGATGGCCGAATCGGCTGCCAAAAAAGCAAGCCACTGTTGAGGGGTTCTATGAGAAATTCGTGATATTATCGGCTCTCAGGAAATCACCCCATGGCTAAAATTGGTGGTATAAATGTTTAAGTGCTTAAAATAATCGTATTCAAGAAACTAAGGAATTAAACTATGGAGTCAATTTCTTTTTAATAATATAACGAATTTACTACCGGTGATTTAGCTATTATAGCCCCAGAATACTTTTAAAGCGCCTTTGCGTTCCAGAATCTCGACGGAATTTTTTTTTTTTTTTTTTTTTTTTTGCTTAAACGATTCAAGAAACATTGTAGTTAAAAATATAAAGATTTTTCGATTTGGACGTATGAAAAAATTTAACTCGTTCAGGCACACCGTGTATTGTATGGAGTACTGCTGTTATTCGACCGTTGTCTTCAGGTCAAAATTCTTACAAAGAAGCCCCTTGCAAGAGGCAAATTTTTTGTAATTTCTCCCAGTTTTTTCAGCGTTAGGTATATAAATGAATTGTTTGTCAAATTTTGAGGTCAATTATATTTAATTGTAATTTATACTTTCTTTTTTTCCCCTTCATTTTATTTTTCGTATCGAGGAGTCGAGGTTTTGTTGATTTCTTCGGATTTCGATTACTGTAACTTCTCTTCTATTCGGCCGATTTTTATGAATGAGGTCTCTTTTTATTTGTGTTTTAACGGAGAGTAAGGAAAAAATTGCTAAATACATGTGAAACAATTTTTTTTGAAAATTGGATGAATCCTAGCGTGACGGTGAAATGGTTAATGAAGCGTGAGTAATTGGGGTACGGGTATCGGCCGCGTTGGGACCCAAGGCCCATTGTTCTTCGTGACGCCGACGCAGTGATCAGGAGCGTGGGGACGAGAGGGCTTAGTGGACTCCTGTATGAGCCACGTTTAGCAAATGGTCTAATGAGTCTCGAGGCTCATCACAGATTGCACTTACCACTATCCTGGTGGCCCCGGCTATCAGAGCAAGGAGTACCAACTTTTGAAAAGGATAACAGTGTTGTGGAGATATGTCAAAGCAACGTTGTGAACAAAACGGAGTGAGTGAAATTCTCATTCAAGGAGTGCCGAACTGGTCAGCCATCCTCGAATCAGTTCGCTTGCTTCCGCTTATATATGCATATTTTAAATCAGCGCGCCCCATTCTAAGGTTTTTTTAAAAAAAACCAAGAAACGTAGACTCTTGGTATTCATTACACATAAACTAGCGAGCCCCAGAATGAGAAACAAATTTTAATCATTATTATTGACGGATTAGTAAACTTTTTACACGCTTTGGAAAATCTCAGAAGTTCGCGGTAGTCACTTTTCGGTAAGGAACTAGGGGACTCGGTTATTGTATCGAGGGGGGGGTCGAAACGATCGCAAAGGCGGTATACTACGTATACGCGCCAAAACTCGAAAATTTAAAAAATAAATTAAAATCGTGAGCTCTCCCTTGCTTGGGTCCCATTCTGGCTTCACGAGGTCCTTGGTCCCTCAAACCAAACCTCCTCTCACGGAGCGCTTAAATCGATCTCAAACCGGGTGAAAATGTCACGAATCTGGCACTGAACCTTCCGATGAATTTAGGTGTTTGCTGATACTGAGTTTAGCCGTAAAAAAACAAAAATTTGCATTTTCGTCTTGAAGAGCAGGAAAAACCTGCCAACGGTTACAAGTTTCGTCGCATCGGAAGTATTCAAAAGGCTTGTCGCGAAAATGACACGGAATTCGGACGGATTTTTTTCACTTGCCCTCAATTTTTTGTTCCTCTCACCTTCTCCAATGCAGCACAGCCGAAGAGCAGGCAATTCAATTTGCACAATTGTTTCGGTTTCACTTTCGTTGCGTTACGGTCGCGGAGCGAGATAACCTATCTATCCTTGTTCAAACGATTTCCGTTCCCACCGTTGCCAAACCTCTTGGACGGCTCATCGAACATTCTCAGGGTAGCGACGAAACATAAGAAAGAAATGAAAGATTGGAAATTTCAGTGAAATATTTCATGAAATTTCAGGAGGCTGCGAAACATTTCATATTTTTCAGAGGCTAGAGTATGCAACCTGCACTCAAGCACACAAAAATAGAAGAAATTCACAATTTTTACATTTTGCGAAACATGAGGAGGAACCGGTATTTTTCAATATCTCTCAAAAATTTCTGAAATTTCATGAAATATTCCACGTGAAATTTCAAGATTTTATTTTTCATAAAATTTTGCAACCATGAGCATTCTAAATATTTATTGAAGGTAGAACCACGAAAAGACGGATATCGATTGCGGTGTTTCAAAATTGACGCTTCTCCTTTATTTTGTAAAAACTACAAGCATTAAAGGACATTTGGATCGCAATTAGCAGGAAGGAACCAAGCCACTGCCATCAGCTACTGCAAAGTTCAAATGGGCAATTTTGTTTTTTAAATGAAAACGGCTGGGCGGATTTTTTTTTTTTTTTTTTTTTTTTTAATTTCGTCGAATTTTCTGCAGAGTAAGAGGCAAATTCCTCAATTATTTCAAAGGAATCCTCGCAGACGTTCTCCTGTAAATAATTAAATTGTCCGATTAAATTTGGCAATAGCTGATGTGGTTTGACTCCTTTCTGCTACGTAGACCCCGGTCCATCAATGCACGATTTTCAGAGCATATTCTTGGAAAGGTAACAAGAAATCACAAAAACTGTTGTCAAATCAAGAGAGGAAATTCAAAACCTGGCGCTAAATACTTTCAGGTATTGCTAAAATTGTGCACTATACTTTTTTTCTGTAAAAGAACTTGAAGGTCTCTACTTGATGAACTTTCCATGTGGAAATTTTCTCAACATTCTGCTCGCATTGGCATGACAAGAATATTGTTATTCTTAGACCACCAAATTCCTGTAAAGTCGTTGCCCCTATAACTTAAGGGCGTATCTCCATTTACACATAAGCCCTGGAGGGCATAGTGTCATATGGGGAACAGGGCTTACATGGAAATTGAGATACGCCTTTACGCCAGGTGAGCAACAGAATGAGAGACAAGTTCAGTTGTACAATCTGAGTAAAGCCTGATGCGCTTATCAGATTTTGAATTTTCATTCTTCACATAAAAATGATGGGATATCTTCCAAAAGAGTAACAATTGGCAGAAAATCTACAGTACTGCAAACAGAGATCTGTAATTTGGTAATTTCAACATTCATAGGTATCCTTGTTACTAGTCGAGCATCGTGAGAGCTTCAAGGTAATATGGAGAACTGTTTATTTTCAAGATTTTTTGGTTTTTGGCTACTCATAATGTGAAAAAAAAAAGTTGAGCTATAAGCCAACTTTACAAATATATGTAATAATTGCGACTCAGGCCATGCTTTAATGAAAAAACAATATGCAATATATTAAAATCCTCTTGCACATTGTTTCTTTATCAAAGCATGGCCTGAATCGCAATTATTGTACATATTCGTAAAGTCGGCTAATAACTCAACTTTTGTTTTTACTGCTTATTTTCTAAATGAAAACATGCTCAGAAGCTATGCAATGCCGCAAATACAAAGCAAGTTTGAATGTAATAAAGAGTACTTAAGACTGAGGAATTTCCAAAACTGTACCTTTGAAATTTCAGAAATAACTGCCGTTAGGTAAGTACTGGTCGTAAAGGGAAATGCTTGGAGTAGGTTCTGAAAAGTTCTCAATATTAAGTATATTCATCAAACAGTCAAAACCGCACCTGAACTTGCATATTTTGTGGGAGCTTTTCAGCCAACGTGCCTTAAAATTTCAGCAAAAAGCTTAAAATCTCAATACAGAGGGAAAGAGCTCGTATGAACACAATATTCCGCAATATGTTATTCAGGAGGCTGCGCTGCACTGAGGATTGGCCCAACAAGGCTGAAGCGCGTCTGCAGCTGCCTCCCTGAACGGTCGTAACTAGTGTTGCACCAAACAGCATATCTCTTTGACGGAATATGGTGCTCATATCTTGCTTCTCTCTGCCTTGAGATTTTCAGTTTTATGCTGAAATTTCAATGCACGTTAGCTAAAAAACTCCGACAAAAACTGTCTTACGACCTGTGCGTCCACCGCAATCAGTTTGTGTAACCTTGCATACACTTCTCTACTAGAAAATTAGATTCTGTACAAAAAAAAGTGTGACCTATTCTTCTAGATTGGTTGAGATCTATTCAAAGCCGTGTGTGAACCATTCTTCTACTTAGATTGGTTGGGTTCTGTTCAAAACAATCTGCTGTGACAGGATAAAAATTTCAGTAGACACAATCTAACAATCCATGTGCTCAACAGTAAAAACTGCTTTTGACTCAAACCAGGTGAGAGGTATTGATTCAAGTATTTACTCTTCAGAGAGAGGCATGTCACTCCCCTTTGATGATGAGAGAGCCACTAAAATTTAGACGAGAAACATGTCCCAGTAAGCAATTCTGGTTCACAACAGAGCAGAGTTGGTTATTTTCTTGATTAAGTATTAAAAGAAAGATGATTCTTGAATTAGTAAAATATTGATTTCTCCTAATGGAAGATTTAAAATCACGCTAAAAAACCATGATCAAGCAATTTTACGTATGTGTTTTGCAGCGTTTCTGAACTGGGTTACATTATGCAATCTACCGCTCCTAGTGCACACTTAAATGTTCCGACCTCATCAACAAATTATAAAATTCAATGTGGAGAGAGAACAGTTTTGATGATCACTTCAAGTAAGTGGATTTTTTTTATGAAAGTTGTCATGAAGGTAAGGCGCACGACTGTGTTATCAACAGTGTTGAAACGAGCCACGGGTAACCTCTCGAAAAGTAGTAACCACCTGCGTGCGATGGTTTCAGTATTGAAGCGGAGAGCGGATTTCCAGACATGAAACTTAACTTAAAAATGACATAGAAAGATGGACTGGATTCTTACCAGAAATAATGATTATCCAAAACCTTAAGTGGAGAGTTCAGTGCCGCACTCAACTTGACACTCAAAAATTAGGTGGTCATTGTGCACATGACGGACCAGAATAACTAATGACAGGAACGCGATTACTTTAGTTCAGGGAAGTAATTGAATCACTGAATGCACATGCAGTTCATCTTACACTGAAAACCATGAAAACTCCGAGGTTCGACGGATTTTACGCGCTTGAATTAGGTACGAGGCGTTATCAAACATTGACTGAGGTGATTTCAAGAATTTGTAAATATTCAGGAGAGAAACAACAACAACAACAAAGCAGGAAAAAAACAAACAATGATGCCCGCAAGGAAAGCTAAAGGCCAACATAAGTCTAAATTTCGCAATATTTATTGAGTGCTTTCAAAGCGTCTTTCGCATGAATTAAAGTTTAAAAGTAAGCTTCAAATCATTCTCCGAAATTCTCTCACAACATTTTTGAGACTAAATTAAAGTCTTTAAAAATTCTTGCGGAACCAAGAAATTCTTTTCTGTCTGAAGAAATAGCAAATTTGAATTTAGAAGAATCCGCAAATACGATTGGCTGTTGCAATTATCCTCTTTTATGGCGGTAATTTTAAAATGACGGACTGAGGACGGATATTTTACCATGATACGCACAAAACGCTGTAAGATGTTACTATTACAGAACGCACGCGATCTGTTTGAATGTTAGACTGTTAAACTTTTGCTCTCCAGATGCACGTTAAAAGTAAAAAGAAATTGAAAAACTTCTCGTTAAATCATTTTGCCAATTTCAATTATGGTTGACCAGCTTGAAGTCATTCCAAGAACATTTCTATCATCCTGATATCCATTTGATAACCAGAGGATATTTATCATTATCATTCAGCATAAGATTTCAGGAATATGAATGACATATTAATGACGAAGAAACGAAATGAATATGCAAACCTTTGTCATACTACATGACCTTCATGTTGATCTGTAGGTAAACATAGGGATATTTTGATCCTGCTTTGCATGCGGTGCAGTTTGATTCATGAAGGCGAAGGTCAAGAGCCTTTAATCTCTTTTTAAGAAGAAGAATACATAGCAATGGGGCAGTCCGAACTTTCTAAATTACCTATAGGGCTCATGTTTTAAAAAAATAACTTTGGATCTTTACCAAGAAATAAAATTAATTATCTGCTGTGAAAATGGCATACTGCAAAAATTACATACTTTTAAAATGGAGTATTTGCAATATAAAATCACACCATGCAGAAGGAAATGTTTCCACAACGACTTTGCTCAAATCAATGCTTGGCCATTCGAAGAACAATGATCTGCACCTTAATATTCTAACTTCTTATTACTTCAAATGTGTCTTCTAATAATATTAAAAAATAAAAACAAAAAATGGATTTTTTAGACACCTTAAAAAGCATTACATCTCCTTCAATCTTCAAATGATACCTTACCAGCGGGCCGATTATTAAAAGTTTAAACAGCCCGATAAGACATCGAATTGCAATATATTGCATAATAGGGCTATGGCTTGTCGTGTCAGGCTGACATAATTTCAATAATCAGGCTGCTGGACTCATTATATCGATACACCAGTTCAAGAAGCTGTAATGTTTTTTCTATTTTTTTCCATACTCGCGATGGAATTTCCGGAGGAATTGGGAGCTTATAATTGTTTTAACTAATCCTGTATAAAAGGGACCTTATAATCTTGTACAAAGTTTCCAACTTTGAAGCCATTATAGTGCATTAAATAAAGCCACTCTCACCATTGCATATGTAATTGGTCCCACAAGACGGGAAATGGGTTCAGTAAATGATGAAGTTAGCACACTGTTTTGTAAGTCTCAGGGCAGATGAGATGTGAATTATTTGCTGATGAGATACACCCCTATCTAGAACGACTGCTGGTTACGAAGTTTCGAATTATGTTTGAATTGGTTACCATGGAGGTAGAGGAGTGGGCTCCCAAGGAGATCTTATTATATCATTCTAATCTTGCACTTTTAAAAGTTTTTATCACTTTATTTTAGTGAATTTAGATATAATATATTCTGAAATGTTTGGTTTTGTACGATGCATATTTTGCAGTGCCAAGTGCATCTTACATAAAAATAAATGAACTTTGAATTTTAATAAAATTTTGAGCCTGATTTTTTCCGTTACTTTTTTTTTCATGTGAAGTAAGAAATGTTTCCTATCGTATTTAAGATACTTACTTCAACAATTCTAAATAACAAGTCCAAATTCATCAAAAATAATAACAGTACTACTCTGCCGTGCTCAGGAAAAACACCTTATGAACCTCCTCCAGTTGCCAAATTTTCGTTAATCAAATACGAATTTTTAGAAAAACTTGGGAATGATTCCCGATCAATTTTTCAGAGAATTTTCTTTGTAATTAGATTCATGTCATCTGAAAATTTTCAGATAAAATATTCATAACTCTTCAAAATTAAACGTTTTGTAGAAGAAAATTTGGCAACTCTCGAATGTTCATACGGTGTTCTTCCTTAGCGCGGTAGTATTGCAGTGCAGATATTACCGGAATATATAAAAAACTAACTATGATTAGCTCGCTTTGCGAGCCGGGGAGTCTAGCCGGGGAGTGCCTCTGGACCCCCAGTTCTTTGCTTCGTGATGAACTTGCGACTCGCTCCGCGGGCCGCCCCCGCCCTACATAGTTTTAACATTAATACAACTTAAAAAATTAAAATTATTTATAGGCTTGTCTACTAATTTTCGGTTTTAAATCTCACAAAATATGCTCCTGACGCTGTACTTTTTCCTTAAAATCAGATTTTAGCAGACTGATAGTGTATCATAAAATTTGGTAAGTTTAAATTGATAGATAATTATCATCATCCTGCAATCCGTGAATCTACGAAAATCAATCAATATTCTAGGTTTAAGGAGTGGTCAAAAACAGAACGAATACAATTAAAACATTTAAAAAACTTTATTAAAACAAAACAGGTGTATAGAACTTTGATTTCTACAGTAATGAGAAGCAAATTGAACAAAAAAATAATTGCTCTGAAGTTACAGAATCTTTACAGACTAGATTTTCTTTTTTAACTACCTAGCACACTTCAAAGTAACTTTGTCCTCTGAGGTAACCTGTGAGAAACCCCAGTAGAAACTAATCAGCGCCAGCTAAGGATGCAGTCATAGATCCACAATATTGTGACGTAAAATATCCATTCATTTCTTTCCATTCAAAACATAGCTCTCAGTCTCTAGAATCATACAACATTACCCTCTATTTCCTCTTATCAGAGACTAAAGTGTGAGCAACGACGATTAATGCTGAAAAAGATAGAGACAACAGCTGTATGAAAATTTAAAAGTGATATGCAAGAATGTAATTGCTATTGAATAACACTAGTTGAATTGTGTAGATTTTCATTAACACTCAGGATAAAACCGCCCACATCCTATCCCCGCTACCTATTCGATAGCTCATATACAAATTCTTGGGAGACTTTAAATCAAATGCTCGTTTAAAAATTAGAAAAATGTAAAAAAAAATGTTAAAAAATGGGCCTGATTATAATCGAACAAGAATAATTTGATAAAAGTAACATAGAGAGAGACTTGAGGGAAGAGATAAACTTTTACTTTGATGATGCAGTGCCAAGGTGCAATAAATGATAGTTTTTAAAATTCACAGCATGCCCTATTCTTGGTGAAGGTACATTGTTATAGTAAAGAAAAAAAAAATCAGCCAAAAAATGGCATTTTTTATTTTTTATGCAGACACTATTTATGAGATACAAAATCTGGTCTGGAGATGAAATGGCTTCATCCATAGAAATCTTGCACGCTCTGTTCTTATTTAATCATTATTCAAATTTTACTACAGCTCTGCAGATGATGACTCAAACTAGTCCTTGAACGCAAAAGATTGATCATTCACCTTCTCACCAGCATGATAATGGGTTAAATTGGTTAAAAAGTTTTAAAAATTGACATAATGAGTAAATCAATTACAAGTTGCCTGCTTTATTAGACTAATGTGATAGAAATTTTAAAAATAAGAGTAAATGTGACAGAACAATATAACTGCACATGAATCTCCTTCCAAGTTAAATGCAGAACACAATAACAACAGAGTCAGTAAGTATTCTTTTGAAATGGCACTCCTTGAGACAAGAAGAGCTCTAGATATCTGGAGATATCGAAAGATAACTAAAGATATCAAGAAACACTTAGAGTTGAAAAAAGTCTTGATCTTACTTGCCTTAGCAAAAACCGAGAAACTCCAATGCCATGTTTACATTTTTTTCTCAGGTATACCATTTAAATCAAAATAACTTGAGTGACTATAGAATTTAATATTTGGAAGAATGTGCTTATGTAGTAAGTTGTAACGTTAAAGGAAGTATAAAAAACGAAATTGTACAAGTTTTCTTGTGATTTTATACTGTACCATACAAAATACTGAAAAATTTGGACTGAACTGACTGGATTTAAACAGTGGTGTACTGAACATGGCAATTTTTATTTCTCTTTCCGAGAACTTAAGTGCAAATAATTACACAATTGCTAATTCTCACGAATGAAATTAAGGCCCTTATTATTCGACACTTCATTTATCTGATGTAGTCTATTGAGTTTTTTGTCAACTACAAGTTATCTGACAGGACAAACACGGGTTTTTTGGGTCAGAATTGAATGAATCTGTTTTTTCTTTTTATGTGTGTGTGTGTGCTTTTTTTCCAATTGAATAGCCTAGTTTTACAAAAAAAAAAAATTGGCCAAATTTTGTGTCTACTTGATTACAAACAGAGCTTGAGATGGCGTTTTGTCAGCCTTTGTTTAGTGGCTTCAATTATCCGACATTTTCGATATCCGAGGCAGCCCTCGTCATAAATTGTCAGATGATCGGAGCAATATTGTACTTGGTAAACATAACTTACTAATTGTTTGTCATTTTTTCTTTTGAGAACAAATATCCATCCATCAGCCAGAGATTCAAGAAAGAATAAAAATACAAAGATAAGGCTAAAAGAGAAATATTCTAATTGTTTCAGCTAGAGACGTAACTATGAATGTAACAAGATTAAGTTTCCAGAATCACAAGTAAAGTTAAAAGTGGACTGAACTAGATTTCAGTTTGGAATAGTTGTACAGTCTAAAAGAGAACTTTCGACAAATTAAAAATGTTAACATTAAAATTTAATGAAGAATGAGATAATGAAAACTGAATTTTCACTACAGAGGAAGAAAAAACTAACCGAACAAAAAATGAAGTAAGAAAAGAGAGCCATACGCTTTGACATTTCATGTCCGATGTATGCTTGCTAAGATTTGCGTATTTTAAAAGTACCGAGTTTATACCCATGATGATAGATTTGGTGAACCACATTTCCAGATCTGGTGGAGTTGAAATGACTAACTACGCCCAGAATACTAAGAAATTTGAGGATGGCTAAATTGCAAGATTTTTTTTTATGAGATACTCAAGCTGAATAAGCTGAACTTTCAAAATAGAACTTTCTATGAGAGCCAATCTCAAGAAAATCGTTTATAAAAAGCGCATTTTTTTGCACTTTAAAAAGTTAAGTATATGGAAAGGTGGCGCCGTCGCCGAGTTAAAGAATGATGAAAAAGGAAGACGAGACAAGGAAAGAAAAGCTCGCTCCTCCGTTAAAACATACTCCGTACATTTTCCCACTTGAAAATACTTTAAAATTCACGTTACATGAACATTTCAGACTCGAGATTATTGCACTGACAGTTTGGTTTTAAAAGCTCATCTTACTCTGGAGATCCTGAGGAACATCATATCAAAAACTTTTGAGGCTAAGCTAGTGCCCTATTTCTTGTTGTTCCGAGTGTAGTCCTTCAGAGAAAACGAATATGAAATATTTAATGAAAAATTTTTCAACGTGAGAATGAATCTGAAAGTAGACTAAAAATGGATGTTAAATTTCAATTATAAATGCACCCTCTCTACTTTTGAAAGGATAAGGTTACTTAAAAAAATACTGTTTACTTTAACTAACTAATATAAAGGGATGGTGATCATAAAGAAATTGTCCGGAAACCATCTTGTCCTAAGTCCATCTTGCCTAAAAAATCATTAAATTTACAAGTTAAATTTTTAATTTAAAATGAAATTTTGTAAAATTTCAGGAGCAAAATACCTGGGCCCAAATTTTGTTGACCAGCTAGGTGTAAACTTGTGGCCGCTTCGAGTCACTTCTAAGTTGAAAGTGAGGCTTCTGATTTGTTGTGCTCACTGATTCAGCTTTTGTTTACTAGATTTGGAATCAACAGTAAACCAAAAAAATTTGGGCCACAGGCAAGAACTAAAGCAAACAATGGAATAGAGACACACATCAAATCAAATTTTTTGATACGATGACAAAATGGCCACTTACTTATTAGCCTTTGAGAACTATCAATGAACTGATACAGAGGCAAAAAAGATATAAAAATAAAATAAACATTCAAATTTTAGGGACAGACTTAAAAGGAATCCTGCGACCCATTTAGAATCAGAACAATCTTCCAATCACCAGACCTCCTTCATTGCGTGTGTTGAGACAATATCTCTTTTATATAGACACTTATCCATGATAAATGAATCTGACAGCAGAACCCGTTGGATGGTCAATTGTTTAAAATTCCACATGACAGGAGATAAAAGAAAGACAAAGTTGACTTTAAGCGCTATTCATAAACTTAATTGGCAACTGAACCAGTAGAGATAATCTCTTGAGTTCTGTTTCAGCTCAAAAAATGGATCAAAATAGCGTCACCATACAAAAACCAGCAGAACTAAAGAGATCTTAGAGGGTTGAAACCGAAAAAATTTTCATTGGTGAGTATAAAAGATGTTACACCAGCTGAATTTGACTACTTTAAATAGTTGGAAGCAGGTTCCGAGATTTCGATGAGTTCATCTCATCGACTCGACGACAATTCAAACTTGGAAAAATTTCGCTTAGGAATGAATACATGAGAATCAAATTGAACTATATATCTACGGATGTACTATTAATTGGAAGAGCATTGTCGTAGGCAATAATGGTCGATAACTCTGGCATCACATACTCAGGCATCTTGATAATGGTTTGGTTGTTTCTACACAGGGGCCGACCATAACTACTGGAAAGTTGGGAAGACTTAACCGGCTCCAAATCTTGCGGAGAATAGAGAAAGTTATCGTGACTATTCGTGAAACTGGTCCTGTGCTCTTCAGCGCAAGAGCAACTAAAACTGGGCACATTTCTAGCGTGGTTCTGAGATTCGTCTACGTCATAGACTCGCGTCGATGAGAAAATAGTGCTCTTGACACTAGTTAACGTGCGGTTGTGTGGATGATCCACAGGAGAAGACACTTGTGAGGGGAAATGGTTAGCACGGGGGGCATTCACTGGAATGTTTTTAAGAGGTGAAGTTATTGATCCTCTCGGGACTGGACTTGATGCACAGGGATTTTTCAGTGGACTGGCAGGGCTAAGATTCTTGAGCGGACTGCTGTTTGGGCTGTTCTCACTGTGATGGAGTCCGTGTGCATTGGCCAAAATGTTGAGGGTAGAGAGATTGGGTCGAACCATGAAAGGGCAGGACATAGATCGACGATGCCGTAGACCTTGAGCGTAGTCATCACTGTCCAGATCCTACAAAAATAAAATTAAAATAGCTTTACAGTACTCGTGAGTTTGCGACTCATCATCAAAATGTTGAAAAAAAACTTTCTCAAAAATGCTGAAATACAACTCTGAGGTGAAAACACATTCTTCACTCAAAGATCTTCCAATACTCATATTTTAGCTTACGCCGCAAAACAGAAATCAATAGTGAAAGAGCAAAAATGCGTATTTTGGTTGCGTTGTTCCAAAATATCCAGTCTAATTTTATTTTTCAAAAGGAGACCAAACCAACATCATGTCTTGAAATTTTCACAAAATATCCTTAACATGGAGAAGAAAAATCACCAGAATTTTTAAAAAACTGTTTAGTAGTTTTTTATGTAAAAAATGAAATTTTACAGGTAGTCTGCAACGCTGCAAACCAAGATATGCATTTTTGCAGTTTCACCCTCAAAGTATTTTACTTGCAGTAATTGTAAGTTAAAGCTAGACTTTTTGAGATTTTAAGATCTCAGGGTAAACATTCTTACAGTTTTCATCGTTACATAAACAAACATTTTATGAGAATAAAAATTCATGATAGTTTTTGTGACGATATAAGAGGTACTCCTAAAATGAAATCATGGGTGAGAAATTAATGGTGGTAATTTTCATCATAAATAGATTGATCCAAGAAGACTTTGGTTTTTTGTGAGCAGGAAATGTATAAAAGACGCAAATCATCTTTTATGTAAAATTTTACTGAGAAAACACTTGCGTGTGATGCTTAATTTTGTTTCACAATAACCTTGTGTTTATTGATCCATTGCAATACTCATTTTTTTTTTGGACAGTTACAGCAATCTAAAGAGGGTTTATTTGTTTTTATGAACAAAATTTCGATTGCTCAAAACATATACGCTATCAGACATGGAAAAATTCACAGAAAACAATGTTCTAACCTGGGGTAATTGAGTTTTTTTGTGTTTTTGTTGATTGTTTTGACTTTTCCTCCTTCGAAGTTCTTTTAGTAAAACTGTAAACTCTGCCTTTAAACACTGACATCTTTCTCTTTCGATGAGAGGTGGTCGTTTATTTTCACAGATCCTTTGGATTTCTTGCTGCACTTTGTACATTCGTTCCACGATCTGCGCAAGAAATTTAAGAAATTAATATACCATTTTGCATAAAATTTAAAGCTCATTTTCACTAGATATGGATTTGACAAACTAAGGTGAGATAATAAAGCTAAGAATAGGCGATTTACAATAGCACAGGTAAAGCTACGACCAATTTGTATGCCTCTGGTCCGGTTATTTTTGTACATAACTTTGCCAACCTAAAATTTAAACTTTCTGTAAATTAGAGAAATATCAACATTTCAAATTTTATTTTCTACAGCATATATTTTTAAGTGTTTTTCTAAAATTTTGAAAATATTATTTACTTTCGCGCAATAAGCACAAAAATTGAAAGGTTAAATGCAATTTTCATTCAGACTTACAAGGAAAAAAACATATATTAAGACGTGAATATTTTCAAATCAATTTATTGAATAATTTGAGCTAAGATTTACATTTAAAATACTTACACTATCGACAGGGGCGGTTCGAATATTGGGGAATGTTGACAGACTAACTGCATCTGATCGATGACCTTCACCAGGAATCCTCCTATTATGAAGTAGCTCATACAACTTGTTAATCTGTAAATCAAAACGAGAAAAAGAGTCAAAAAACGGGTAAAATCTCGTTCGGTAACGGTTAAGGAGTTTCTGGAGACATTAATTGAAAAATAGAAAAGAAATTAACTTCAGGTAGAGAGATAATATCTACACATTGCTGTGACTTAAGAAAAAAATGAAATCATGGCTCTTTGATTTTGCAATCAACATAATTGGAGATAGAAGATTTTGAGAAAATCTCTCGAAAGGTACACAGAATGGTTTTTCTGTTTTATCTCTCTAAAAATAATTACAAATAATTAATCTATTCTTTAGATTTCTTTCTACGAGACTGAGTTTCATACATTTTTTTTCCACCATGATATTAGGCTAATGATCCCTCTTAACTGAAACTTATTTGTGTATAAAAATAAAGCTAGTGTGCAGATGGATCCTTGTCAGTGCCCTTACTTTCATTACAACCAATACAATCTGATGAGTTCACTATTGTTGAGAATGGCAGTCGTATGAAAACTGATGACACATTTATTCCTTGCCTTGTTTGTGAGTCAAACAGATATCTCAGTTTTGCAAACTTCAAAAACTCCAATAGTAAGCGATTGAGTTTTCTAATTGTTATAATGCACTTTGTACCGAAAGTGTTTCAATGGCATGGCAAAAACTAATAGCACAAGCCTAATTGAGGTGCTGGGTGCAAGAAGGGGCAATTCTTAGTAGCAATGTTTCAGAATCTCCGCCGCTGATTTATGTCTCAGAAAAGAATGTCAAGGATGACTTTTCCAGAAATTTTTCAATAGAACAATGGAGAATCATGAGCAATATTTAGTAAAATTCCAACGAAAGTTTATTCACTTTCCTCGTGTGAATAAAATATTACAGAGAATCCGAAACAATGTGACCACGAAGTGTCTTTCTGGCACCAAATGCTTTGATGAAAAGCCTCCTTAATTACATCGTCTAAGCAAACTCACCTGTAGGTTGATATGATGTAAAAGGATTTCTCCAGTTTGTCCGAGAGCAGCATCAGTGGCAACAGTGAGATAAATTTGTTCGGAGTAGGTGATCACAGAAACTGCTATTCCAATTCCGCTTTGAGCAGGGACTAAAGAATATATTGCTTTCAGTTCGCTACCGCTGATTGCTACAGGTGACGTTGGCCCAGAAAGCCAGCTGAACTGCACGCTTGCCTAAATCAACAAAGAATTCGATTTGAAAAATACTGAGGTAAAGTAATCTTAGAATACTTATATAATCCTGTAAACTTTAATGGTTGGGAATAAAAAAGATACCATTAGGTGCAACACTGACTAAATGTTTGATTTTAAAAATTAAACAATATTACTTAGATGAACTTACAGAGTTGCATATCCTATTATGCAGGGCTGCAGACTTCCTCTCATACTTTATTTTCTGAATAGAAAACTCTACAACATCATTTCTTGAAAACTTCGATGTTTTATCTTCACATTGTGAAAAATATTCTGTGAAAATTAGATCCCATATAAAGCCATGATGTTGATCCGGTCTCATTCAAAAAAATAAAATAGGAGCGGATATTATTTTGAAACACTACAATTATTGAGATACTTAATTTTGCAACTTCGATCACTGTTCATTTACGCTTGTAGAATACATATTTTTTATCTCTCTTACAAGCCATAGCAAATTAAGAGGATATTCAGAGTTCTAGAGAGAGTTCTTTAGATTTATAGAGAGATTATTCTCAAAGAGAACCCATAAAATTTTCGAGCATTGCCTCCATAAATATTAGGTTCACGGATATTGCAATAACAAAAACAGATACAACTTTCCTTTTCACTTGTATTTTCAGGATTGCTCGACGAATTTAAAAGGCTGAGTAGCTCACCGTTTTCTCCGTGACAGCAGAAATAAGCGATCGGACACATGAGCCAGGTGCGATTGACATTAGAGCTGAAGTGGCTACATAGAGAACGAAGGGATCGATGGATGACCGCAGTGTTTTGAGGCGACTTCTCGTGTACCACAAGCGTGGCAAAGCTCCCTCAATACTCACAGGCAGAGTCATAACAACCGGAGAAACTTTACCGTTAATGTTTGGCTGGACTGACATGCCCCCTTGGTTCATGTTCACAGGAATCACGATCTGAGTGATAGAAAAATGCTTGTGGTTCATTTCACATTAAAAAAAATAATTACTTCCTTACTCTGAGTGATAGAAAAATGCTTGTGGTTCATTTCACATTAAAAAAATAATTACTTCCTTACTACTATGCTTGTCGATAATGTGGAAGATATATTCGGAGAAAACAATTCTCCAAGATAGTAAAATTAAAACTTGCCTGTAAATTTACTTATGTTTCAATAATTAAATAATGCCATTTTTTTACAATATCATGTAAATAATTACTAATAAATCAGTGGTTAACACTTGTGACGAAAGAAACTAAAATTTTCAAACAAATTCAATACAATAGTTCTCCAACAACAAAAAAATAAAAATTCCGAAGAAATATTGAAACAGAGCAGACAAGATGCGTTCTTCTATGCAGAAAACAACAATTTCAATCCTTATAAAGAAAATTTCTGATTTTACCTCATTTTTTAAAAAAGAAACTGATTGGTATTCCTGCGGAAAATGTTTACAGAATGTCTTTGAGTAGTTTCAGAAAAGTAAAGTACTTAGTTTTTCTGTCAAGCTTTCGTACGAAGCAAGAAATGAGACAAAAACAATAAAATAAGTAGAGTCAAAATAGTAAACTTAAACTCTCAAAGTATGCAAAATAAAAAAAAATCCTACGCGTTGTGGAGCGTCTGTCTCCTTTTTCAGAGCAGATTCCAATTTTCAATCCACATTTCTGAAGAAGAAAACAGGCGTCCCTAAACACGTCAGCCTTTTACAGCCTCCAAAACATTTTATAGTGTTTCTACCAAATTTTGATGCTCACAGTTTGTTATCTCGGTTTTCTTGGTTTCTGTTGTTAAAAAAAGCAAAAAGTTCTGAGACTGAAAATAAACATTTTGTGATTTCACGATTGACATATTTTTTAATTTTTCATTTAGTTTTGATTTCATATGAAGCATGTATCCTCTGATCATTCTTTAGAATTGTCTCAAAGGACAAATTAATGATAATCATAAACTTTTAGAAACACTACAGAGATTTCTTTGAAGGCGGAAATTTGATAACTGCAAGAATTTTCGAAATTAATAATATGGACAAATGTTGCTCAAAGACTTGAAGGGATGTAAACATGATCTAGGTAAGGCTTATCATACTTAACAGGATATCATACCTTCATGTCGGGTGGATGTCTAATTCCACAACTTTGCAAAAACAATCTCAAAGCTCCCGCAAACGCAGAAAGAACGACACAGTTCATTGATGAACGTGTTACTTGTTTGATGCGGGTTGCTTTGCTCATGCTTAACATTGAAGACATAGATACAACATTGTGATTGGTCCATTTTTGTGGCCCATTTATTAGGTTGCGGTCCTTCCGTGAAGTCAGGAGCCAGCAACACAGAGCAAGTGGGCAGATGAGGCACGCACGGATGTACAAGTAGCAGAATTGGATGCGTCCAAATTTCTGGGAAAATAAAGAATATCAGTTGATAGTTTTAAAACGTATTAAAATATGAATTTTGGTAGGAGCTTGGAGGTGTTTACTGACAACGAATTGAATTGTGTTGGGCTTAAAAACGCATAGTCAATATTTTGCAATTTTACGGTTTTAAAGATACAGCAGTCTTGTTGCATGAGCAGCTGTCCATGGAGGAAATAAAAATTAATTTGAAACTTTAACAATTTTTTCTTTAGATAGAGGAAAGTTCTCCATGTCGTGAAAATGCTGACTATATAATAAGGTCATTCTACAAGTTCTATGCCTTCCTTACAGCAACTTGAGGTTTGGAAATTTCAGTCGTTATGGAAATTAGTAAAACCACACTTAAATATCATTATGAGTTTGAAAAAAAATGGATTTTTTTCTTTAAATGGGTGTAATACTTTTTGAAATGTCACCTTGTCCTACAGGTTCCATTTTCGGAGCTGTTGTCATTACCTACCTACCACACGAAATTGTTTGATCAAAATCAGGACAAAAGCCTACCTAGCCTTTGCACGTCAGAAATCATTACTTAATATTTACATTACATATCTGAATGAGAATTTGTTAGTGCTAAAATCCTACTGCATCTCATGTTTGACTGAAAAAAAAATGAAATACCTAAAAAGGGAGCGCATATTCCATTTAGAATAAAGGAAAATTATTACAGGAAGTTCACCTTGGGAGTGGTCCAGTTTACTTTGGTATCAGAGAGATTTTGGCAAAGTAATTTGACTAAAGATGTGCCATCGGCAAGGCTTTGATGAATTCGCAGAATGACGATAGTGTCTGGAGCTTCACACGGAGAGGACACAGTAGTTTCTACTGATCGAGGCATGACGTGAAGTTCCCATGGTGGTTTATCAGCAGACAGACTTTTGCTTAAAAGCTTCCCTACATAATCCTGAAATTAAAAAAATAAATAAATAAATAAATAGATAAATAAATAAATAAATAAATAGAGAGAATCCTCAAAGATCAAAAATGTTATTCTTTTTCTCATCCTAAAATATTTGTATTATTTTGTACTTGCCTACGCAGAAATGTTTTGAAAAAACTATTTTTTGAATTTTTTTAGAAAGGACAAGGATCATGCAAATGACAGAGTCAGTGATCTAGAAACCTGTCAGAGAGCTACTTCTACCTTTCTTTCAGAGAATTTTCTTTAAATTGTTCTATCCTTTTTACCTGCGATACTTACTTGTGGAATTTTTTCAAAGATATTTTGGAGAATGAAGTTTTGTATATTTATTCATACGTACTTCACTCAACATTGGATGATTTAATGTAAAGAGAAGTTTACAGTATTTTCACTGTTGGGACAGCACTGATACTAGAGTGCAAAAAAGAAATAAAAGTTTGCAAAATGTACTCTTTCATTAATTGGAATCGAGAATTTGCAGGTATCTGAAATTTGCTGAATTTTGTGTTAAAGTGGAAATTACTGAGTGAACTGAACACGAGGATATACCCTTGGTTCATTAATTGAGCAATTATTGGAGAAACTATGACAAAATGATCTAATCTGCTAAAATACATGTGTTTAAATGGGAAATGCCACCAGATGACGTCACTATGCAAGCACTTTCAGATGAAGCAATAACAAATGTGCGTGCAAATTCTCCATTCTCGAATAAAAAGTTACTAAAATCAGTCATGAAAAAAAATATTTTAAATGCAAATTAAAATGGAGCTACATAATGGTGTCATAATATTTTTTAACATTTAACTACCTGTAACTTTGTAGCACCATGATCCTGAGAAAGCTCTGGTGCATGGAAGACATGTCGGTGTATATCAAACGAGGAGTCTGGAAGCCAACAATGGCCAGCACCGGCCGTGAGTGGCAGCGCAAACGGCTTCGAGATTAGGCGAGGACAGAATGGGATCACACGCTGAAGGAGGGCTTGCTTCAGCCTCATCAGATCAAGCCGGGAGTCAAAAACGAGCACTGCATGGAGCACCGAACGCTGCCATGCGCTACCTAACCACTTGGCGTCCTGACCTCGCATTGATTCCACTCCACCACTTACTGATGGTAGACAAAATAAAAATCAAACAAAATATTAATCACTATCAGGAATAGATCAGAAGTTTCCACTTAACTTTTACGATGATGCTTTTAAAATTAATCAGCGCATTGCAAAAAACTTTGGAAACCGGTAAATGCTTCGTTTTCTTCCTCTTTTTTTTCTCATTTTTTAGCAAATGCTAGAAAAAGCTGTAAATACCTTTGTATGTGCCAGTATCAAAGAGAGGCATTTTTTATTCACCATAGGTACCTACAGCACCCCAAAATAAGTATACTGATGGAGAAGTTAGTTGATGTTTTTAGAATTTGGAGAGGAATATGCTTGAAGTTGTAGGTAATATTAAAAAGGCTGACAAACTTCAAAGTGAAACTTCGAGGAGGAAAACTTAGTTTAAATATTTAATTTTTTGATACATACTCTCTTAGATGATTAAAACTTCAAATGGCTATAATTTTAACGTTTCCAAAAATATCACCAATCTACTCTTTCCAGTCACAATAGGTACCTACTCATAGGTATTGCAAAAAAAAGTTACTTAATGGGGATGTATGAAAATTTGAGAAAATTTGGTAGATAAGTATAATTAATTAAATACCGCAGTATAATTGTGGTTACTATAGTATGGGGAAATTCTCGAAACAGTTTTAAAAAAAAAAAATAAATAAATAAATTTAAAAAATTGGTAAAATATGATGAAAACCTTTCATTTATCATAGGTGGTGAAGACTCGTGATGATTTAACATAGTCAGTGAATATTTAATCTAATCTATTTTATTTTTTCCACTTTGGTCTACATATCTTATACGTTTGTTGTACTTATGCAGACAGGGACCAATGCAAATAATTACCTATGCCTTATGACAGTAGGTAAGTAATTAATTTGTGTTCAATTGAATAATTAAAGAAAACTATTCCAAGTCAGAGGATTAATTTAGCTATTATCATCTCACAATAATTTTGTAGCCCTTTCTCAGAAAAAGAATTACCTAATTCCTACTTTTACTTCCAATCTTTTTTTTTAAAAGATATTTTATAAGCAAGGAGATTAGAATTTACCTCTGAAGCACCTGCGGCGTGTGTTCCAGTAGGCAAGGAGTAGGATCCATCTGGTAAGAGAAAATACCGGTAAGATAATGACAAGAAGTGCAATTATTGGTAGACTGGCCACAAAAGCCAAGGTATCACCAAGTGTTGAGCAAAAGATGGCCCAGAATGGACTTTCATCTAGCGGGTGTCGCAGCCGTCGGATTGGGGCACTCTGCAAATACTCGGCTGCCGCGTTCCCATGCTTCACCATAACCTGCACAACAAAAAGAGAGAAAAAATTGAGTATTTGAGCCCAAAAAGAGGATTTTAGATGAGTAAGTACAAGCACACATTTGATCAAAAAAGGCTGGAAAAATGTTTGAAAATGGAAAATTAATAGGTTTGTTAGTAGGTATTCATCAAAGCTATAAACATAATTAAAAATTAAAAAAGAAATAAAACAAAACTATAAAAGAGGTCTGAAAATCAGTTGTGCAGTGGAATTGATTATTTCCACTTTAAATTAGCTAATGCAAATTGCGAAGCATGCCTCCCTTTCACATTAAAAAATTACTTGTCAAAAATTAAAATTTGCATTTTCATGAAAAAACATTACTTGAATAACAAACTAAAATTAGGTATAAAAGAGAAGAGAAAATAAAAATTACCTATTGTTTTTTTTTTAAAATTTTTAATTTTTAAAATAATATTAATTATTTTTAAAATTCGACGTATTATTTGATATGTTGGTGGTCCTTAGGTATGCTATTTTTATATGTAAGGTAAATTAAAAAGTATTGGAAGCTGTAATAATGTGAAGGTACAAATTTCCATGGGGTACACTTCTTTTTGATTACGAATTGAACCCCCCCCCCTCCTCCCAAAAAACACAGGTTAATTTCTCACGTAAATGGATTAATATGAAGAAAAGCGTGAGAAAATAAAAACAGTGCATCGGCCGGGAATCGAACCCGGATCGCCCGCGTGGCAGGCGAGCATTCTACCATTGAACCACCGATGCTGTACGAAAAAGCGGGCAAAATGAGACGTACTCAAGCAGTGGCAGCTATACGGCTACTTCGTCTCCGCACAATGGTAGCCAAACTGGATATCTCCAGTCCTCAGCCGGCCTCGCTACTCACTTACTAGCCCCGTAAAGGCGAGCGGCGCTGCGCACAAGGGGGCAGGCATCATTCTTCGGTGACACGGCACATTTTTAGGATGTGCCGATATTTAACGATGAAGGATTATTAAAACATTTTCACATCATAAAATGTTTTCGAATTGTTTTTAAATCACTTACATGCTTCTAAAGGGTGTCTGGGCTGTGTCTGAATATCGTAAACTCCGGTGTTTTTTTTTTTTCTTAGTTATATAAAAAAATTATTGAGCAATACTTAGTAACGGGATATGTTCACAGAAACAATGCACACATATTTTGAAATTGTGCTAAAAAATACTGATAAAATATTTACGGCATGAATAGTCGCCATTTTATTTGTATTTTTTTTTATTAACTTCCTTGTTTTTTTGTTTTTGATATGATTAAATACTCAAACCGTCCCAAATTCTTGCAACGACGACGTAAAGTATAAATGCAATAAGTGGCACATACATTTTGTTACCACTAGCGGAAAGAAATTGAGGGTACTTGGGTTTTTTTAATGCCTAGGTCTGGATGCAACTACTCGTGTTCTCGAGATGTCCGTGTTGCCTACACAAAAATTGCAGGCGCTCTGGTTTTCTTAGGCACAACGAAGCGTACGGCAGCAGTTGTTAGTTCTCGAGGGTTTTTTACGTTGCAATTACAATCGTGTTTACAATGAAATCCTTGAAATTCGGATGAGTTATGTGTAGAACCATGGCAGCGTTGCAAAAAGATACAGATAGGAGAGATATTATCGGTGGTGATTTGCGGGACTGACAATCGCGTGGTTTGTGAGGGGATGTTTTTGGTGAAAAATTTGAACCATTTGACACCACTGCCGTGACGCAACATAACTAATTCCAACTCCACGGATTTCATGGCAAACACGATTGGAAATGCAACGTATAGGGAATCCTTGAAACCCAATAAACACATCCATATACGTTTCGTTGCCTAAGAGAACCAGAGCGCCTGCAATTGCTGTGTATGCAACACGGACATCCAGAGACCACGAATAGTTGCATCCAGACCTAACCATTAAAAACGCCGCACAGTGGATTGAGTCAATTAGAGAGGTCGGACATGAAATTTTTAACTAATACTGCAAAATTTGATGTTAATTTCGTTACATTTTAAATTTCAAGGGGTGTTTATGGAAGAAAATTTCACGAAGAAACCAATGAAACCACTCTCAGAACCTCAAAATTTTGGATAAACGGAGTTCTAAGCGTTTGCAGTTTCCAAATTTCGTCCGACCGCTCCAATTGACTGGATCTACCGTGCGCCGTATGGCGCCTTACATTTTCTTCGCCTAGGATAGTTCTATAATGCAGAATTTCAAATTCACAAAGGGATCGCTATCTAGAATGGCGCGGTACATTTATTAACTACCCGAACGCTATTATTTTGAAACGCACGCTGAAAATAAAATATGTGTAGCCCGTGCTGTTAACTAATAAAGCGAAACAGCTGATATTCCTTTCTTCTTTCGTCTCATTCACGCGACTGAGTTATATTAAATCACCACGGGAGGGTGGATGCGTTGTTCTGCAAAATGTTTCCCTCTTTAAGGCGAGTGCTAGTTAAGCGAGGGAAGATATTAAAATAAAACCAATATGGAATATGCTCCCGCTTCAAGTGGGAAGCACCGACCGGAGCCTGTTTATTTCCCGCACGCTTTATCGCAACATAAAATTGAATAACGGAGGAAATATATTCATTCGCTCGCGGCAAAGGAAATTTTTCCGAATGGGAAGCTGGCGGGAAAAGATGTTGGAATACAGGCATTTCGAATAAACGTAATTACAACGCACGAACGATGATGCTTATTCACGAAGAAAAGAAGAATCGATGCTTATACGATGCTCATGTTGGATTCCACATCCAATTTACTTCGTCGTCATAAATGAAATGTTACTACTGTGGTAAAAAAAAATGTGACCCGAACTGTACGTAACAAGAGGATGATCGAGGAAAGCAAGGCCAATAATTTCGATTAGGGCCAACAATTTTGACCACAAAGGAGTATTAGCACAAGACTGGGGGAAGGAGAGAGTTCAACTGAGGCAGATACATCGGAGCTTGAAATAAATGACTCTAATTGGAATTCTTGGCCTTAGGTATACTTTCCCCGAAAATTAGTGTGAACTCAGCACTATTTCACCCCCTCGTTGCTGTACACGTTAAAAATGTAAGTTTCTTCATAAAAATTGCACTTTTTTTACCCAATACTTGTCCACCCACCTGCGGGACGATTATTGAAATTGATAAACGAAGCTATAGGCAATGAATGGCTGAAGCTGGAGACAGGAATGGACGAAGGAAGTAGATAATCGACTAACTAACGGCAAACCACGAGAGACCCTATGGTTAGTCCATCATTTTCTCCCTAAGTCGAGGAGCCACCCATTTCAACCGATAGTATCGCTCCATACTCCATAGGAAGAGCTTGGAGGACAAGGCGCATAAGTGCAGTTTTCGCTGTTCCGAGAAATACGCGTTTGAAGTTTCGAAATCACGAGGATCCTTATGGCGGAAAAAAAGTTCAAACTGACTTTATGATGCTTAAAAATTGTAATTTGGAAGCGATTTTGTCACAGAATATACATTAAGACTAGTTTCACTTGAGGTCAAGGCGCATAAGTGCAGTTATTGCTGTTTTGAGAAATACGCGTTTGAAGTTTCGAAATCACGAGGATCCTTGTGGCGGAAAAAAAGTTCAAACTGACTTCATGATGCTTAAAAATTGTACTTTGGAAGCGAATTTTTCAAAGAATATGCATTAAGACTAGTTTTACTCGAAATAATTAATATCTCAATTTTTACAAAAACTGTACGTATGCGCCTTGTCCTCCAAGGTCCAAGCCCCACACGTATCTTCTTCGTCTATCGCTTTGTCTATCAATTCCAATAATTAGCCCGCCGGATAGACAAAATCAACATTTTATCGGTGTCTTTGTCGAGTGGGTGGTTCTCCGATTGGGACGAGCGGTGGCTTTGGGGGCTAAAACGATGTCGTAAATAAAGGAACGGAGGCATCCCGGGGAAAGGCGAGCGAGAACAGAGAGGAGGGCTCAGCGCGGGGGTCGGGGGGTCGGGGGGAGAACTTATTCAAATTGGGAGCTGAGTGAAATGGGATAAGCGAGAGAAAAACGTTCGGGACTATTGATCGCTGGCGCGTCTTGCCGGGCAGGTTGCAGGTTCCCCCGCTGCAGGGGCCAGATGCACGCTGCGGACACGGACATCGTCGCCACCTCTGACATAAGGGCGAACCGCGACCCCCAAGTGAGCCCTGTTTCCCGCATGATCTATGCTTTCTGGGGCTCATGCGAGCATCGAGATGCGTCCTTCTGTCCGAGGAGCGACGACATGGACCGCGAGCCGGGAGATAGCTCCACTTTCAGCGGTAACGTCTTTTGATTGCACGCTGAGAGAGCGGTGTTTACCTGGAATTTGTTTATTTTTTATTTTATTTTACAACATATTTTTATTAAACTCCTTGTTCAGGATTTATAATATTTATACTGGAGAACTTGCACGCAAATTTTTAATTACTCCATCTGATAGCGCCTAAAGAGCTGATTTTGCAGTGCACTGGAAAAAAAAAAAAAAAAAAAAAAAAAAAAAAAAAAAAAAAAAAAACACACATTGGATCTAGAGTCCAGACTCTTGAAAACATAGACAAGAAAAAATACTCTTGATTCAATCGGATTTTTGCTTGAATCAAAACGAAATTCGCCTAAATTAAGAGGCTTGGTTCTTGATTTAAGCTAGATTCTGATTGAATCAAGAGTACTTTTTCTTGTTGATGTTTTTGAGAGTCTGGACTCTAGATCCAATGTGTTTTTTTCCCCAGTGTGTTTTTTATAATTTTTTTCGGCTATGGAAAATAGTGTGAAAATAGATTTAAAAGTGAGAAAATGCACGGCCTGGTGACGTAATCTGGCGGCATTTCCCATTCAAACACATGTATTTTAGCAGATTAGATCATTTTGTCATATCCCCTCCAATAGTTGTTCAATTTATGAACCAATGGTATCCTCGTGTTCAGCTCACTTGGTAGCGTTCAAACACGGAATTCATCAAAGTTCAGACACCTGCAAATTCTCCATTGGACCGCGTTAAAAAGAAAGGAACCAAGCCACATCACCTATTGCCAAATTGAACAGGGAAATTTTATTTTTTACGAGAGAACAGTGGTATGGATTCCTTTGACAATTTTAAGGAATTTGCGTTGTATTATGGAAAAAATTCACTGAAATTTGCACAAAAATCTGCGCGACCGTCTCCATGTAAAAAATTAAATTGCCCGAATAAATTTGGCAATAGCTGACGTGGCTTGGTTCCTTTCTGTTTAACGCGGTCCAATTATGATACAATTTTAGACTTAAGTCCAAGACTTAAGACAAAAAGTTATTAGAATACGTTGCGCGGGACTAGGAGGTTTATTTTTATATACTACCCATTCATTATTCACAGAAACTTACAAAATCGCGTCAAAATAATAGGCGAGTTGGAATCCCGCATGACGTCGTTTCCCTTACGAAAGAACAAAACTACATTTTAGGAGTTGTACACGTCTCGCCTATGTTTTGTTGAAACTCGGACAGCTAATCCAACGTGATACACTCTTTTCATCTATTTTAAATTTCCATAACTCACTCTCGTAGTCCTCATATCTTTCATCCTTTGTCAGCATCATGACAAAGAATTTCTGCACACAAATTGCTGCGAATAAGCGTTAAAAGAATAATGAAAAAAAGGAAAAAGTCCTATACAAGTTAGGACCAAAAGTTGACAAACCTCCATTTAAACTTTTCAACAACGTAAGATTTCACTCAGAGGTATAATTTGCTACAACCAGGAAATTGTTTTATTCGCAGGAAACGAATGATAAAATAAAACAGCTTCATCGTGTCGTGAAAAATGTCATCACAAAAAGGGAACCTAAGTTACTACAACTTTATATTTGAATTTCAGAATTCAGTACAAGAAACACGCAAAAAAATAGTCTGTGCTGATCACATAACCTTCTGTTCACAAGGCTCCTGCACTTTCTAAACTTGCAGGACTTTCCTGTTGTGAGAACAGAACTTTGATCGTGAGCACAGAATGCTCTGTCCTCACAACGGAAAGTTCTGTGGCTGTAACGAGGAAAGTACAAGAGCCCTAAAACACAACTATTTTATTTCATTGACGAAAAGGAATATTGATACAAATAATAAATCTCATGAGAATAAACAGTCCGAAAAAAGGCGACGACGTTGTTTGTAGTTGCCTGTATGCTCTCCGAAAGAGAACATTGCAGGATACAATACAAATGAAGGTTTACTTACACAGGAGATACTCGATGTCCAGTATACTAGCTTTGGATTCCTCACGATATTAATTGTGAGACACGTTTCACCAATTTCGGTGCGCCCCGATTTCGAATTTCCGCGGTTCTGCGTTTGGTGAACGTTTTGGGGTCCAGATTAAACCTACAAGAAAGCATATTGCGTGCCGTATTGGTGCAAAACCGCGTTATCCCTCTTTGTATTTGTTTATACGCGAGTAAATATTTTCGCCTGATACAGATAAGGATACCACACGCCCAACACGACGCGTAATACGATACCACACTGACAATGAGTGGCGACGCGCGGATCATCGGCTATCGATAGTTTCCCATTTAAAGCCATGGTAAAGAATCGATTATCAAGGTACACCCTGATAATGGATCCTTTCCCATATGTTTAAACGGCGGATCCATCGAGGAATCGCAAAGCTCGACACATGCCACGCCTGGAAAACGCCACCCACCACGGTGACGAACTCCACTCTTGAACAAAAAAGAAAGCCAACAGGTGAGACAAGAGTGCGCGAAGGTGACTGACAACGAATGACAAACAACTTTTGAGATGTCTACGAGTAGGTAAGTTGTAGCTTGTGTGTAAACAACTCATCATACTGTGACATGCGGTGATAAAGATGTACCGACCCCCCCTTCTTTATCTCTCGTAGTGACGCTGAGTATTTTAAAGGTAAATACTGAGCAAAAAATTCCATTTGATATTTCGAGGGATAGTACTATTTTTAAGTTGAGGCCTGGTTTAACCACCTTTTGACAAAACTCTCTTGATATACATAGAGCAAGAAGAATTTTAGGGATTGAATATTTCACCGTGCGAAGAACTTCTCTGACTTTAGAGTGACTATATTGTATTGATTGATATGCCATTTAAACCAATGGAAAAGGTTCGATGAAGAGGGTGTTTGCAACGAACACCTTAATAATCGATTCTTCGCCATGGCTTCAAATGGGGAAATTTTGATAATCGGCCATTCACGCCTCTCCACTGATCCCAGGTGCGTGCGCGGTTTTCGACCGGGAACCTATTATACTTCTATTTCATCTATAAAATGGATTACATTTTGCAATGAGGAGCCACTATCTCTGGCTCTCCCATAAAAGCACATATCTGCATAAGGAAACTAATGTCATGTATGTTGTTTCTAAAATGGGCCAGAAATAATAGTGGTTCTTTATTGCAAAACGTATTCCAAATCACCTGTGTCAACAGAGGGACTAATTAGTCCAGGCAATAGGGAAGTTCTTGGGGAAAATTTCCCGGAAAACTTTTTGATGAGTGATTCCTATGTATTTTTGGACGCTGAATCCGAATTTCGCATTTGTGTAAAGATCTTTTCGCCGCTAAAGCCGCCATTTTGAAAAAATGGCCTAAAAATGGCCTAAAATCCCAATTTTTGAAAATATCTCGCTTATTTTTGATTTTTTGACCAAAGTAGTTATTTTCAAAAATAAACTACATAAAATTCTAAAGAAAACAGGTTCTTATCAATTTTTTGATATGACTGAAATTTCAGCCGCCAGAGCGCGCTGAAAAAACCGCCAAAATTCGAATTTCGCGAAACTTGCGCTTTTCTCGTGAATAACTTTTCTCGGGGTGACTCTAAGTGAAAAATCTTAACTATTAAACTTATAGAGCAACAAATGTAATACTAGGAGTTGCTTTTTTTATTTTTCTTAATCCTGGACGCCACTGACAAGCTTTTGAAGTTGGACTGAAAAAAGCTGAACCGAGCATGGACAGGGTTCGCCAGTGTCTGCGTAATTTCTCTTCTGTGGATTTTTCTAGAGGACTTATTTACGAGTCAGATTGTAAAATTTCATTGGAAGGTGACACCCCCCCCCAAGACTCCCGAACAATTGAATGTCACAAATTACCTCCCCCCCCCTCTTCACTCTGGCAATTACCGCTGTTTTTAGTGAATGAAACGTGAATGCAATGATTTCATCGGTGATATTTCGAGCAAAAGTTTATGTTAAGTTAATTTAAAACACATGGAAAAAAAATGGAAACACTGATTTGCATGTTCAGGGAGTAGTGAGATTTCACATATGAAACATAGCTCTGAAAAATCGACGAAAACTATTCGGCGCGGGGCCAAACGACTCTGTGCAACAAAAATCCGCCGTCAATGACATGAATCGAATGTTTTTCATCAATTACCTCTTCTGATGGGCTTAACCCACCGTAAAGTGAAGATTTTGTGTTTTTACGCATGCCCTCTTCTGTGAGAAGAGACAGCGGGAACGGTGACAGCTCATATGACAAAAACGTTGCAAGTTCCTCATCCGACTTTTTAGCAATGCAAATTCTTCGGTAAATCAAATGAGGATCGACAGGAATAATATCATCTTGAAAATATACGGCTGACTTGGCTCCTTGGCTCCTGGCTTCGAATCAGCTCTGGTGGTGGGTGAAGACATAGATTTGCTGGTGTTGCTAATTGCGCATAGCAAAGAGGTACCAAATGTATTTTTCATGAAGACAGCTAGGGGTAATAAGCCCCAAGTCTTGTACAACCGAGAAAGTGTTGGCGATTAAATAATTTCGGATAATATTCGTTTAATTCACGCTTTCACTGGGAGTGATACTACCTCGGGAATTTTTAATCAAGGAAAAGTCAAATTATTGAATATTTTAAAAAAAAATCACGATTTAATCAAATCTGCAGAGGAATTTAATGACTCGAAATCAACACGTGAAATCATTTCTGCTGCAGGCCAGAGGTTGTTTCTTGCACTTTACGGCCAGAAAGACATTGAGAAAGTTTCTCTAAATAGGTACAGATACGGCTGCTTTATAAAATATTCATTTCAAAATAAACAGAATCTTGGGTCTTTGCAGCAGGCTGCAGCAGAGCATGCATTCCAAACTTATTTGCAGGTCCAGGAGTGGCAGGGTGAGAAAAAGGATCCCTGCAATTGGGGCTGGAAAGCCACCAAAAATGGGCTAACGCCTATAACAACTTTGGATCCACCAGCTCCCGAAAATATTTTAAAGCTAATTGCCTGCAAGTGCAAGAAAGGTTGCCGCAAGACTTGTGGGTGCCGTAAAAATGGCTTACGATGCACCATTCTCTGTCAGATGTGCAATCAATCCTGCGATAATTTTCAAATGGAAGATACCCTACAAGGAGAGGAAGAGGAAGGGGACGTCGATGAACCGGAAATTATGACATTCTTAGATGATAATCAGGATTGTGAATCTGGCTCATCTACGCCATCAACGCCAGTACCTGGTCAAAAATCTGAAACAGACAGTGAGTATGACGAAAGTAACATGGAAATTGAAGAACCAGCGACAAGGGTACTGCGCTCAAGCAAAGCAGTGCAACGTATTGATTCGGAAACATCCAATCAAAAAAACAAGAACTCAGATGAGTCAGATGTGCCACAAACTGATCTAACGAAAATTCCGGGACCATCTACAATGCGCTGTAGAAAATAATTAGGTAGATGCTTGATTTGCATTTTTTAACTTTGTATGCACAGTACAATTTCTTCAAAACTTGGTTGATTTGTGAAAATTCAGAGAACTCTGAAATGTTTTTATTGCAACTTGAAAAAACTATGCAACTGTAATAATACAGTCCGTCTACTTTAAGTAGGCTTCTTTCCGTCCATTTTCCCTATTCCTGTCCAAAAAAATTATTCATAAGAACTTATAGAAATTACCTGATGAACTATTAATGTTACTCGAAATATCACCGATGAAATCATTGCATTCACGTTTCATTCACTAAAAACAGCGGTAATTGCCAGAGTGAAGAGGGGGGGGGGGGTAATTTGTGACATTCAATTGTTCGGGAGTCTTGGGGGGGGGTGTCACCTTCCAATGAAATTTTACAATCTGACTCGTAAATAAGTCCTCTAGAAAAATCCACAGAAGAGAAATTACGCAGACACTGGCGAACCCTGTCCATGCTCGGTTCAGCTTTTTTCAGTCCAACTTCAAAAGCTTGTCAGTGGCGTCCAGGATTAAGAAAAATAAAAAAAGCAACTCCTAGTATTACATTTGTTGCTCTATAAGTTTAATAGTTAAGATTTTTCACTTAGAGTCACCCCGAAAAAAGTTATTCACGAGAAAAGCGCAAGTTTCGCGAAATTCGAATTTTGGCGGTTTTTTCAGCGCGCTCTGGCGGCTGAAATTTCAGTCATATCAAAAAATTGATAAGAACCTGTTTTCTTTAGAATTTTATGTAGTTTATTTTTGAAAATAACTACTTTGGTCAAAAAATCAAAAATAAGCGAGATATTTTCAAAAATTGGGATTTTAGGCCATTTTTAGGCCATTTTTTCAAAATGGCGGCTTTAGCGGCGAAAAGATCTTTACACAAATGCGAAATTCGGATTCAGCGTCCAAAAATACATAGGAATCACTCATCAAAAAGTTTTCCGGGAAATTTTCCCCAAGAGCCCCTATTTGATGCCCAATTGCCTGGACTAAATGGCACATACTCTATTTCTAGCGTAGTTCCAAATAACGTCACTGCGGTTCTAACCGAACTTCACGGCATGAACTCGAGGACCTTGAACTTCATTCTCACTATGGTGGAACGGGGGGCCCGGAGGGA